CTTCCTTCCAACGCGTATTTAAAATGTTGCACTCCTTGGTATGCCGCGGTCAGCTCTCTGTCGTAGGCGCTGTACTTCCTTTGGGCGGGCGTTAGCTTTTTAGAATAAAAACCCAAGGGTTGTACTTCTCCGTCTATTATTTGGTGTAATACAGCGCCTACGGCGTCATCTGATGCGTCGACGGTTAGGGTCAGCTGTGAATTTGGAGCCATGTAATTCAGCAACGTTGCGTTCGCCAAATCTTCCTTACATGCGACGAATGCCGCTTTACTTTCCTCTGACCATCTAATGGGGGTGTTGTCGTTTTTTTGGTTGCCCCTTACTAGCTGCTGGAGGACGGCTTGATTTTTAACTGCATGCGGGATGAACGGTCGATAAAAATTTATCATGCCCAAAAACTTTTTAAGCCCCTTGGCCACCGTTGGTATTTTAAAGTTCCGCACAGCTTCCACCTTCTCCTCAGGGGGCCGAATCCCCTGCGCGCTAATCGTGTGTCCCAAAAAGTTTAGCTCGCTCCTTCCGAATTGGCATTTACTGATTGCGATAGTCAAATTGCTTTGGCGAAGTCGTTCGAATACTATTCGCAAATGCTTTTTGTGCTCAACCTCTGATTCCGACGCGACCAAAATGTCGTCGATATACGCGAAAGTAAAATCGAGCCCCTTTAAAACTTCATGGATGTGACGTTGAAAAGTCTGAGCCGCATTTCTCAGACCGAATGTCATGAACACGAACTCAAAAAGTCCAAAAGGCGTTGATATAGCCGTTTTTGGTATATCGCATGGTTCAATAGGGATCTGGTGGTATGCTTTTTGGAGATCGATGGCTGAAAACACCTTCTTGCCGTGTAAAATGCTGGTGACGTCGTGCAAATACGGTATAGGATACCTGTCCGGTACCGTAATAGCGTTTAACGCCCGATAGTCGCCGCAAGGTCTCCATTCACCACTTTGTTTCCTCACGAGGTGCAATGGACTGGCCCAATTACTTTTTGACGGTCTGCAGATCCCCTTCTGCAGTAGGTACTCGAATTCTTCCTTCGCTTCGTTTAGCTTATCCGCCGCTAGTCTTCGCGGCCGCGCGAATACCGGAGCACCTGTGGTAGTTATGTGATGCGTAACCTTGGAATTCACTGGTCTCTTGTTTGCGTTTGTCGTGGCAATATCCTGGTACTCATGGAGTAAATTCGCGTACTTATCCTTGACGTTGTATACCCGAATTTGCGTAACCTCGGTGCGCGCCGTAAGACCTTTCGTCTCCAGTAGTGTACTTCTATCTAGTAACTTGCCTCTCTTAGCGTCGACCAGGAGATCGAAGTGCTTTAAAAAATCTGATCCTATAATGGCAGAATTAACTTCCGCCAAAATGAAATTCCACACAAACTCGCGTCTTAACCCAAGAGAGATCCGTAGTCGTTTTTCGCCAAATGTTTTAATAGCCGAGCCGTTCGTAGCATACAGTTTGGCCTTCCCGCTCGCTTTTGTCGTATTCGCCGTACGGGCCGGTAGCACGGACACATCGGCACCTGTGTCAATTAAAAATTGTGTTTTTGTGTTTTCGTCCCTGATGAGTATGCGGGCTATGCGTTGATAGTCTTCAGATTTGCCCGCCAAACCAGAAGATGCAATTAGTTTTTTGTCGCTGTTTGTCCGCGCTCGCAGGGCGGTCGGCATTTACGGGTGTTATCCCCGTGCACCTGGTGGTACCAGCATAATTCGCCCTTTGTTCGCATTGGAGTATTTGCCCGGGCGTCTCGTCCTCTTGACACTGAACGAGATCGTCGGTTTGTTCGGTACTTCGTATTCTGAATTAATTTGTCGAATTGCGCTTCAATGCGTTCGATTCGTTTGCTTATGTCTGAAAAAGTTTCGTCGGCTGCATTGCCTTTTGCCACTACCGACACCTGCTGAAAATCCCCTACTTCTAGAATCTTGTCGGCCAGCTTTGCTAAGTCTGGCAAATCTGCGTTAGACGCCTGTAAGATTGCCCTAACCTGTACTGGCAATCGCTGCAGCCACAGCGATTTCAGAAATTCGGTGGAAACCTTGTTTTTTGCAAGTTCACTTAACTCGCTTAACAACTGGGTTGGCCGTTTGTCTCCCAAATCCACATCCGACAGTAATTTTTGCGTTTTTTTCTGCTCGCTTTCACAATATCTATCTATTATACGTCGTTTCAGGTTGTCGTATTTGCCGTTGTCGGGTGGGTTCAAAATGGCGTCAGAAATCTGGGCTAAAACGTTTGATTCAACAGCAGCGACGACTGTGTTGAACTTTGACGAATCGGTGGAAACTCCGGCCACGCTGAATTGCGCCTCGACTTGGGCGAACCAAATCTCCGGATGCTCTGGCCAGAATGGCGGCACCTTAACCGACACTTTGTTCACCATCATGGCTTTTTCGCTCGTGGCAGCGGCCGACGGTCCAGCTCCCGTGCTTGCTTCATTATCTTCTTGGTTAACCATTGGAGTTTTTGCTCGCTCCGTGACAAATACTCGCTTATCACGTCGGGGTCACCAATTGTCGGGTGGTGCCTAGCAATAAAACGCCGGGTAGTTGCTTATATTACAATGATTAACTTAGAGTTTATTGAAAAAGGTTCGCTCGTACAACACACGTGTCCGTGTCTCAAAAAGATCAGCGAGAAGGAAAAAGAAAAAACTAGAACATCAGAGATAACACATCTCACTAACTTATGTTATCGATTATTATTACAAGAGGCGAATTCACCACATACCCTTGTGCACAAGTGCGCTCGGGTATAAAAATGGTAGAAGTTGGTGGATTTTGTTAAAAGAAACAATATTTTATAGTTTTCACTCATGTATATTGGAAAAATAAATGCGAATTCACATAAGGCCTCGATGGTTCTTAATGTCAAAATATGTATATATTTGTTATAATTCTTACTGTCATTATGCGTGAAATTTATTAGTGTAATTTGATATGACTTTATTTATCCTATATGGATATATAAACTATCTAATATTTACGGAGTTCACAAGGTGTTGTATCACAGGTGCCGTGATTCGGGTCCTGTGATAATTTAAAAAGGTCCTCAAACAATTACTTTCCACTTCAAAATAATTAGGTTAAAATTAGATCTGA